CTGCTTCCCTTTGCATTCTCTTCCTGCCTTACCTTTCCCATTCTGTTTCTCCTCCCTAAATTTTCCTATTCCCCATTTTCATGCGGTCCCCAAGTCTCCCTCCATGTCCCCAGATTCTGGATCTCTGCCAGTGTAAGATCCAGCTGGTCCAAATCTTCAACCCCCTTTCCCATCTTCGCATGACATCAAATATTTGAAAACATATTCAGCATTGTTTTTGTTACGTCGACCACTGGTCAGCAAAAGCTAAACTTTCAGATTGTATTGTAGAATTATCATTGTGCTAGCTTAACAATGGGTGGGGCAGAGTTATTCAACATGGCAATAAATCTATTTAGTTCACTGTGATAGGTATGGGAAGGTTATTTTGGGCATCAAAGATGAAGTTTTTGTTTTTATTTTGTTTCATTGTTGGTGCGTCTTGCTGTCCTAGCGGTTTGATTACACTTATCCTTAGATGACATGACCTTAATTGCCAGCAGAGTAGCATGAGCTGCTTTCAAAATTGTGCCACAACTGTGACTGACTAATGCAGCAGAGATATGTAAAGAATATGGGATGTAATTGCAAACCCATAGTTTTAACCTGTGTCATCTACCTGATTATTATAGCCTATTTCTGACTTTTTGGTTTTGCTTCCAAACCACATTATTTCCTGTGCTGAGCAAGGGTCACTGGACCCAAAATGTTAACTCTGATCTCTCTCCACAGATGCAGCCAGACCTGCGTTTTCTGTTTTTGTTTCTGATCCGCAGTTCTTTCAATTTTTATTCTCAAGTATTGTTACAGGAATCAGCTCACATTGCTGATATTAATTACAGCTACTTTCATTTTGTTTTGGAGAAAACACTAAAATTATGCACTATCTTTTGTATAGCGAAAGCTATAAGTTGGACTCTTATTGCTGTCGGCAAGTGGCAAAGACATCTCATTATGCAAGTGATACTAGAGGGTTACATTGTGCTGTGTGAACAAGTGGGATGTTACCTGGCAAGATATAGAGCAGTGAATTGAATGTTCAGTACCTCAAATCCTGCCCCCTCACATCTCTTAGCTGCTCTGTGCCTGCAGCAGAGGAACTGGGAGTTTTACAGCGATTTTCCCCCCTATCCTATCAGCAATTTGGTACAGGCTTGTGAAACTGAAAGAAATTGTTCCAGTCTGTTACCCTCACTTGAGTAATAAAGGCTTTCAAAAGCCCCTTGCATGCTTAAAAAAAAATTGGCAGTACTTTCCTGACTTGCTAGTATTTGTGGAGAGAGCAGAGAAATGTCTTTTTGCTGACTTTGCTTATCTCGTAGCTGAGCTTCTAAGGGACTGCTATTTATAATGTAGCCTTTGCTTGTGACTACAGTAATGTACAGTATTTTCACACACGGTTGGTTACTGCTTTCTGCGCAATTCTATTGGAAGCAGTTTCTCTGTGTTTGTGATCACAGTAACATGGCAATGAAACAGAGCAGGGGTTTTGTTCTCTGATATAATTCAGTTCCTGATGAAGAGTCATAGACCTAAAACACTAGCGCTGTCTCTCTCTCTCTCTCTACAAAGGCTATCTGACTTGCTGTGTTTTTATAGCATTTAATTTTTTTTAATGTCTCTATCACTTTGCTGTTTTGTAGGAGCTTGCTGTGCTTAAATTGGCAGCCACATTTCGTACAACAGATCATACATATTTTGAAGGCTATAAAATAATGTAGGATGGCCTGAGGTTGTGTAAGATGTTACATAAGTGTTAATGTTTTCATTATTGAACCCACTCCAATTGTTTGTCCAAAGTCTAATCAGGAGCAGAAATTGTTGTTATTTCTTTACTGTTCGGAGTTGTTGGAATTAGTCATGGCACCCAATAGTTAATCCACCTCAGGCTTTATTACAGTAAAAACAAATTCAGACTAGGAAATAATATTGCTTTTATTCATTGAGTAGGGCTTTGGTTAGCTCAGTTGACTGGACAGCTGGTTTGCAATGCAGAGTGATGCCCTGTGTGGGTTCAATTCCTGCACCAGCTGAGGTTACCAGGAAGGACTTTGCTGCTCAATCTCTCCCCTTGCCTGAGATGTGGTTACCCTTGGGTTAAACTCCCACCAATTGTTTCGCTAATGAAAAAGCAGCCCAATGGTTTGGCACCTTTACTTTTATTCATTGAACCAGGAGGAAATTGACTCTTCTCTAACACTGCTAGTGAACGAAAATGGTGAAGTGATTTTCACTATTAATCCCCAAAGTTATTTGCAGCCAAACTTTGGGGATGTTGCTTCATTTGTAATTTCATTATCTGCTGACTAAATAATTTTGCAATTTCACCCTATATTTTTGGGATCATTTCTGATGGCAATTCAATACAATTCCCAAAGGATAATGATTGAACTTTGCACAGGTTTAGTGACATGACCGTTGTGTTTAATCTGGAAGAGCTTGCTAATATTAAACGAGAGTAAACCTAGTTCAGTCTTTTTATTAAACCTGATTGATCCCTTTGTATAAATGTGATGCCTGAACATCTCGTTAAAAAGTACACTGTATAGTGCTAGGTGTTCTGTCAAATATTATAACCCTGTAATAGAACATGCAGCTTCTAAAACGGTCTGTTTGCAAGCTATAAACACCACTTGCAGCAATAAAGACAATAGCATTGAAGGTTAAATACCCTCAACACTTAGTCTGTGAAACTGTGACTGTAATTACATGGAACCATTAGAAGTAATCTTCATACAGCTTGTTTTCCTTTTTTAGTAAGGCAGTGGTGCTGCAAAATCTAAATTATTAATCCTGTTTGCTGATGTAGGATTTATTATCAAGAAGTATCCTCAATAATTTCTTGCATTTGGAATTTGTAGTTGCAAGCTGGCATAGTAATGTCTTGCAGAAGAAATAAATCACATGAGACTGTTCCGTGATCATCCAAGTGTGTAGCAATTGTTGTGACCCCAACTGATGCTAATATTGAATAAGTCAGATCCCAGAATGAGACTTGGTTGAATAGATCATACATTTAATTTAATTTTTATTTTATTTAGCGTGGTAATTAGTCACTGAAACATATTCACACAAAGGTGTACATATCCTTTAACAACAGAATGTAAATGTATTAAACAAAAGAGGGGAGAAAACAAACATTATAAAATACAGTTTAGCAGGATATTAATACAACCAGCAAAAGTTTCAATCTGTATCCCAACTTAGAGACTCCAATACAGAGAAATACACTCCAAATTCAACATTTTAATTTTCTGCTTAATTGACTCCTACAAAGGACAATAGTTATGGTGGTTAGAGGGCAATCATATCCATCCCTGGACATCACAGCAGGTGATCCTCAATGCAGATATTTTTAAACAACTTGTTTGGAAATGTTATGCATATCTCTGGAGTTGACGGGACTTGAACCCTGGCTGTCTGGCTGAAAGGTAAGGGATATTACCCATGATTCCACAAGACCCTTTTTTTTGATGTAGTGTCCTAGGTCAAATTATCGGTGATCCTTTCTCCATCATGAGGTCAAAAGAGGAGATGTACACTGATTGCACAATACTCAGCACCATTCATTGAAACAGTCTATGTCCATATGCAGAAAGAGCTGCATAACATCCATCGTTGAGCTAATAAGTGGTAAGGAACAAATGTGCCACACATGCCAGGCTACCATCAACCATAAGAGGATCTAACCAACTCCCTTTAACATTCATTGACATTGCTATTACTGAATCATGTGCTGTAAACATCCTGGGGTAGTTACTGTCGGTCTGGTTCGATTTTTAGTCAGCTATATAAATAGTGTAGCTACAAGAGCCGGTCAGAGGCTGATAATCACTTTTGTTTTTATTCATTAACGGGATGTGGGCAACGCTGGCTAAGCAGCATTTATTGCCCATCCCTAATTGCCCAGAGGGCAGTTCAAAGTCAACCACAATGCTGTGGGTCTAGAGTCACTTGTAGGCCAGACCAGGTGAGGATGGCAGTTTCCTTCCCTAAAGGACATTAGTGAACCAGATGGGTTTTTCCAACAATCGACAATGGATTCATGGTCATCATCAGATTCTTAATTCCAGATATTTTATTGAATTCAAATTCCACCATCTGCCATGGCAGGATTTGAACCCAGGTCCTCAGAACATTACCTGGGTCTCTGGATTAACAGTTCAGTGATAATACCACTAGGCCATCGTCTCCCCTGTGCCTTTTCACCATCTACAAGGCACAAATCCCCACTTGCAGGATGGTTAGAGCTCCAAAAAACATTCAAGAACTCAATACCATCTAGGTCAAAGCAACATGCTTGATATGCAACCTTTCCACCACCTTCAACTGTTACATCCTTCACCAGTGATATACAATGAAAGTGAAGCTCTGTTGGCTGGATAAACAGTGTGGGTTCAAATCCCGCACCAGCTGTGGTTACTGTGAAAGATTCTCCTAGTCAACCTCTCCCCTTGTCTGGGGTGTGGAGACCTTTGGGTAAAATCACCACCAATTATCTTTTTTTTTTAACAAGATCAACACTATGGTCTAATAAGTCTATGGTGACTTTGTCTTACCTTACAAGGATAACAGTATATACCATCTGCAAGATACACTGGAGCAACTCATCTGGGATCCTTTGATAGCACCATCCAAACTCATGATATCTCCCACCCGGAAGGACAAGAACAACAGATTCACAGGTATATCCCCACCTCTAAGTTCCCTTCCAAGGTACTCATCATCCTGACTTGGAACTATTATCATTATTCCTTCATTGTCACTAGGTTAAAACTCTCTTTCCAACAGCGCCATGGGGCCTTCTACCTTCATGGTCTGCAGTGGTTCAAAGAAAGTAGCTTAGGATGGGCAATAAGTGCTGACCTATTTGGTGGTGCATCCGTCCTGGGACTGAAAAAAAAATTGTAATGAAGACTCATAAGTAAGCCTTCTTACTGTTTTTGTAAGATACAATGAGCTGTCTAAGGCCATTTTCCGATTCCTGAACCTGAAACATTAAGTCTGTTTCTCTCTCACAGATGCTGCCTGACTTGCTGTACATTTGTTTATATTTCAATTCTCCAGCCTCTGCTGTATTTTCTTTTTGACTTGTCCCCCAAGTGGAATCCTTCCAATCTCCTGCCCCTCTCCAGAAGAGCTGCGGTGTTTGAGTTAGTGATTTATATGGCACTAATTCTAAATTCAAAGCTGAAGAAATGTTTATCCTAGGTTAGCAGAGACTCTAAGTTTGTCTCTGCGTAAACAAATTTTTGTGTTTTTTTTTTTCTGGGCCATTTTAAAAACCCAGATATATGGTAATTGTCACAGGTTACAAAATACTTCAGTACTTGTATTCCTCCTCTGTACTTTTGAGAATGGTAAATCCACAATAAATTAACATTATCGAGGTGATGAAGCACTAGAAGTTTTTTCTCAGTCAAGTTCAAGTTAAAAAATCCGTGGTAGGACAAATAGCAGGAGTGATTAGATGATAAAGGGATCATGTTACAAGGTAATAGAAAATACTAATATGTGTAAATAAAGAAAAACGATTGGTCCAGAGCAATTAGTCATTGTAGAAACATTACCAGCATCTGCTGTCCAGTCAAGTGACAGTGGTTGTGACCTAATGTTGTTGACACTGGTGTTGAGTCTGCAAAGCAGCAATGAAGCTAAACAAGTGATAAGGTGTTGTTCTTTAACCTTGTACTGAGCTTTATTGTCACTGTAGTGCAAATGGGAAATTTAGCAGATGTTGGAAATCTGTGATATGAGCAGCAGTCCAGGGAAATATTCAGCAGCAGATTTCCTTCTAATTTTCTTTGTGCGTGCCCTGCTTGTTGCAGTGTACGGTTCATTTAAGATTACCATGCGTGATGGAAAATGGGACTAAAGTATGTTGGTACTTGATGACTGGCACAGGCAGAAAGGCCTGAAGGGGCCTGTTCTGTGCTGTAAAACTCTGACTTCAACTACACTGAGTTAACTGTTATGGACAGTTCAGACTGTTATGTTCGTTACATTCTTGGAGCAGGCCAATTTGGACCATTTTTAGAGAAGCAATGTTAAGATTTATTGCTTTTTGCCCAGCTATTTGTGGCTGCAGAAATCAGCAAACACTTTGAATTAGACCCAATATACTGACCATTACAACGCACAGCTGGAACCGGCACCTACTGGAAGCAGCAAAAACCAGACCATATAAATTCAAACCAGCACACGACAACAGCACTTCACAGAAGGTTCCACAGCACTGAGGATGTCACCTAGTAATGGGACGAAACGTCTGCTATCAAACCTCCCAGCTCAGCGAACACACCAACATCTACAACCAGCACCTGAGCTACAAATCTTCACTCAAGCCCTGAATGTTGCAATTAGCTTGAGCATGTGAAGGCTTTGCAAATGGAAAAGCTACCAGTATTTCTGCACCTGATTGTGAATCTGCTATAACTTATGCATATATTACATATGGTAAGGACAGGATCAGGTTTGAATTTTGTTCTCCATAATGAAATAGGATGCCATCGTAGAACTTAGGCCCAGAAATAAATGGCTGCTTGATGGTGATGGAAGAGGAATGCCAGCCTCCATAGCACAATTACTTAGAGTTAGAAGAGTAAGACAGGAAAAATAATAGTGATTGGAGTTTGACTACAGTTAATGTACAACTTTGGGTACGTAAACCATGTAGTTTAGCTTCGACCAAAAACACCTCCCAATTTCTGGGAAAGACTATTATTACGAGATGCAATTAGTATATTATTATTAGATTTTTTAAGGAAATATTTTACTTTAGTTAATAGCACAAATAATGCTGACTCAGATTGATCTCATTTTCTCAAATTGTCAATATCACAGTGGTAGCCAACAATATTTAATGAGCCTTAACTATCCCAATGTGTGTAGAAGATACAACCTAAGCTTAGCTATAAAGATAGATTTTGTGCAAATGAAACCTGGTAATGTCTCATAATCTGTATAATCTGGAATTAAGAGTCTAATGGTGACTATAAAACCGTCATTGATTCTTGCGGCAGGAGAAAAGCCCATCTGGTTCACTAATGTTCTCTAGGGAGGTCTGCCATCCTTACCTCGTCTGACCTACTTGTGACTCCAGACCCGCAGCATTGTGGTTGACTGTTACAGTTAGGGGTGGACAATAAATGCTGGCCTAGCCAGTCATGGCCATATCCTGCAAATGCAATGTATATTTACGGTCAGCCCTGTGCAAAATTTTGCCATATGTTGATAACAAAATCTTTAAATCTCAGCATGAATTGTGTATGTTTTTTGAGGAACGATCTCTCTCCATATAAGTATCTATTTTAAAATGCTGAAGAACCTACTTGTGTTTCAGTCACTTTCTGTTTTTATTTCAGATTTTCAGCACTTAGATTTTTTCCTATTAGTTAATCAAAATGGATAGTAATATCATTCTTTTCCCATTAACCTTTATCCCTCTGTTTCCAAAGACAAGCTCACTTAGAGCTACCACTGTTTCACGTGTACCCTGTTAGCTAAGTGAAATATACTAATTGTTCCCCATTCTTTGCATTATCCATAGGTGTGGAGGAACAGTGGGGGCAATTGTCACTTGCCCATTGGAAGTGATTAAGACTCGGCTCCAGTCCTCGGGCTTAACACTTCGTCCGGTCTACATTCCACAGGTGAACCTTAACACAATCAATGGACCAGGTGTTGTTCGACCGGCACGTGTAGCCCCTGGACTGTTCCAAGTTCTAAAGTAAGAACTATTTCTATTTATTTTGATGTTTTCTGCATTTCTTCATAAAAGTAAGTAATTAGCTTCTCACAGTTGGGTTGTGCTCCAGCACAGTGTCTCCTGGTCAGATCAACTACTACACAGTTAGTGCATTTCGTGTTTGATGTTCATTAATTTTAGCATTTGGGATCTGCTCATTGTATCAGCAAAGCAGTTGTTGTATTTTTATTATTTCCAATCTCCAGCATCTGCAGTACTTTGCTTTTATTATTATGTTTGGTGTTTCTAAACTCTTTTTATTTCTGATGGTTTAAGATTTGGGATGCAAGTGCAAAGCTATTTTTGCATTGGTTGACTTACTTTGTGCTTCCAATTAGTGTTTTAATCAGTGTTCTTTGTATCTCAAAGTCCCATTTGCACAAATCTTGCTGAAATAGCCCAAGTCAAAAAGCTGTTTCTAGAAAAGACTGCTCATCAAAAGCAAAAATGCTGGAAATCTAAATAACATACCACCATCTGCAAGTTTCCCTTCGAACCACCCACCATCTTTACTTGGAATTATATTGCCCTTCCGTAGGTGTTGCTGGGTCAAAATCTCGGAACTTCCTTACTAAAGGCGTTCTGGTTGTAGCTACACAAAATGGATTGCGCAAGTTCAAGAAGGCAGCCCACCAAAACCTTCTCAAGGACAACTAGAGATGGGCACCAACATAACCATGAGTGAAATCTTTTTAAAGATCTAAAATAACAACGGAAATTGCTGTAATTACTCAGTTAGGCTGGCAGCACATTAGACCTAATGCATCAAAGTGTGACCTTTCAGCTTGTGAAATGGGTGCAGGGATTGTGCTGTGCAATTACCTAATCATCATCGTTTGCCCTGTTCATTATTATTATTTTTATTATTATTTAATATTATTACAGTTAGCATCCAGCTGTAAATGAGTTATTCATTTCTGGCACATGACAGGGAACCCAATATTATTGCTTGTTAATATACTACTTAAAGCTCCAGTTTTCTCCCACAGTCCAAAGATGTGCATGTCAGGTGGATTGGCCATGCTAAATTGCCCATAGTTCAGGGTTGTCTAGATTCGGTGCGTTATGAGGGATGGATCTGGATGGGGTGGACTTGGACTTGGCGGGCTGAAGGGCCTGTTTCCACACTGTAGGGATTCTATGATCTATGAAGCTTTCCTGCAAAATAGGGAAAAATTAAAGCACAAGTATAACGTGGCATCACTCAATAGTGCTGTACAAAAAAAAATGGCTGACCAAGAGGGAGTGCATGCATCAAGCTGTTCTAACACTGCTCTGGAAGTTTGGCTGGAGGAGATGTGTCCTATATTCATAGTGGGTCCAAGCTCACAGTGAGAAGGTAATGGTAATAGAAAGCAACAGAGAAAAATACTCGAAGTTCAGCACTGAGGAGCTACATGCAGTGTCCAAGAATTTGAAATAATGAGTCAGTTAGTGAATCTGTACTGAAATATCATATTCAAACAACTGCACCAATAGTCTCAGCCACTGGTGATGTAGTAGAAGGCTTGCCTTGATTTTTAGTATCCCCGAAATATTAGGGAGATGCCAGAGGATTGGAAAATGGCAAATGTGACATTCTTGCTCAAGAAAAGGGGCAAGAGCATTCCTCGTAATACATTAGTTTACTATACTACACAGTTTAACATCAGCAGTGGGTAATGCTTCAGAAACAATCAGAAAAGATTAATAGGTGTCTGTCAGCTTGTCTGTTCAGATCTCAGACTTCAAACACTAACCCTGTTTCTCCTACAGATGGGACCCGACTTTCTAATCACTTTTTTTCTTGATTCTATTAAAATAATACTCAAGCAGCAATTATTTCATTTGGCTGTGATATTTGACTTTAAAATTGTCTGTAGCTCGGACCTTGGCCAACTTAAAAATCAGTGAAGATGATATACTGTAGAGAAGAATTGGATTGACTTTATTCTTCTCCTTTACTTATGCAGTCATCTAGCTAAAGAGGAGCTGTTCAAAATCCAGAATCTGTTTGCATTTTGCATTTGCATCTAATGTATTTTATTTGGTTTAAACAAAAGCTTATTTGCTGACCAAAATCTACTTTCGAAGAAATATCAAATGGAAGTTGCATATTAAAGTCAGTTTAAACTCTAGACTGTAATGAAGAAGTTGAAAACATAGGTACTTGCTACACTTCTGGTTGAAATCATGTTCCCTATTCTGAGCAATTGCTGTTGCACAAAAGAAATGTTAACATGAATGAACACTATCAAAAATTGATATTTAATCTTATGGATTTCCTTTTCTTCCAGGAGCCCAATTTACAGCAAGCTCATAACACACTGCATTTTTCTGTCATATCCCTTTGTCATTGGCAATCTGTTCTCTTTATGGAGCAGGGACCTTAAGAAATGTAACACTATGCAGTATTGTAAACTAAAATCCATTGTTTTAATCTCACTTCTGTGACAACGCTCGTCTTGTCGCCCCTATTGAACATCATTGCTCTGCATCTAATTGTTAGAGGCATCTTTCACAGAAGCTCATTAGAATGATAGATTTTACTTTGTTTGAACATTCTTCATTAAACATTGCACTTTGGGCTTCATAAATAAAGGGTGCTGAATTTTGACAGGCTTAGATAAAGCAGACGAGGAGAAACTCTTCCTGTTAGATGGTCGTCCTCTAGACCTTGCAGAAAGATTTAAAATTTTATGCAAGCGATTTGTACAGATGTGAGGAAGAGTTTTTTTTTGTGCTGTGAGCAGTGTTGATGTAGAACTCATCCACACCACAAAACTGTGAAGCACTTTGAAATGTCTTATAGCTGAGAAAGGGAATATAAATAGTTTAATATTTCTTTCTTCCTTCTGACTATTCCGTATTTGTATTTATCCTGAACTATTATTTTTAATTAGGTTTGGAAATCCATAGAATAGCACGTGCATGGTGTCTTGTAGAGTAGGATACCTTTTGTGCAGCAGACCCCACACTGCCTTGGGCATTTCTTGGTTTCAATAATCAAGTGAGCATGTGTAATTGAGAGTAAGGTTCTGCTGCAATCTTTCAGCTTTACCCAAAGACATGAGCTGATCCATCATCAACATTAAACTAAAGTTCAAGTTTGAACCGCTTAATTATTGGGAGACCACTTGCGCATTGCTGTCTTAATATTGGGGAGTGGAAGCTATAAACAGAGTATGGTTTTCCTGTATATTGAAGTTGGTGTATGGAAGAGGTGTCTAATGTTTCAGTTCAGTCTGGTCTGCAGTGAAATTCTAACCAACTTTAACCTTTGCTTTTAATTCTAAGTTTGGTGAAGTAACGTTTAAAAAAAGTTTGCATTTGCAGAGTGCTGACAAGAAAACGGTTTTAAAATAGAGACTGAGTTGATGCTTATGCTTCCTGATGTAATTATCTAACAAATGGAAAAATAATTTATTTATTGCCTTTAATGTATCAATAAATGTCCCAAAGTACTTCAAAAAATAATGCCAAGGAAATAGTTAATAGGACAGATACCAAAAGCTTTGTCAAAGAAGTAGGCTTTAAGGAGAACCTTAAAGATGGAAAGTTGGAAGGAATTTGAATGTATGCCTTGGTGGGTGATCACACAGCCACCTGAGAGGATAGTGGAATTTTTGTATTAAGGTTAAACTTTCATGTTTTAGGCAGCATCGAAATAATGAGGTTGCATGAGTTCACCTGCCTTGTTTCCTCATTTCAAATACTTTCTAACTTTGTGTACTATTTTTTTACAGATCTATCCTCGAAAAGGAGGGACCAAGATCACTTTTCAGAGGATTAGGACCTAACTTGATAGGTGTTGCTCCATCCAGGTAAATTTTAACTCTTCAAATTGAAGGGAAGAAAATTCTCTGGACTTTGTTTTGATTACTGTGTTGCCAGACGATTTGCATATATTTTCTCAATGCTGTGTGAATTTCTGATCGCATCTTAAAGTAGAATTCAGGCTAGCCTTGGTAGTACTCAAAAGCTGTGGTGACAAATAATTTGAATGTATGTGCTCCCGTCTTACTTTATATTCACACTTTTCCTTTGGAATGTGAATCCTGTCTGTGTTCAAGACACAATCTCTTCGTTTCAGAACATGGGTAACAACTTCACTACACTGAGTTAATTGTGCTTTTATCACAACATTAGAAGAAACTATGTTGTAGCATTATTGCCCTTTTGGGGTGAGGGGGCTGCACTTTGAACTTGGGATGTCATTGTGAATCTGCTTCTCTTTTAACGATAAAAAGTAAGTTAAATCAGTTTAATACTTTGAAACATACCAGTAACACCACAATACCAGAACTGGTAGACTGCCAAAAGTAAATAACAAAAACAAATTTTTATGGGGGAGGGGAATGGGGTGGCGTGGTGTGATTGGCAGAGAATCTTTATTCAAAATTCATTTCTACATTGGGAAAACTAGTGCCATTATAACTTAGTTGGGGCACTCTTGTTCGGGGGAGAAACCTCTTTCAGCACCCCTCAAACCCATGACCCCCACCATTTAGAAAATTAAGTGCAGCCAACTAACGTTAGCATCTGTGAATTCCCCTCCAAACCACACCACCATGATTTGGAATTATAACACCCTTCCTTCAGTATTGCTAGGTCAAAATCCTGGAACTTTTTCAACAGTACTGTGGGTGTCTGTTTCAGATGGACCTCAGTGGTTCAAGAAGGTGATGCCATTTTTTTTAAGGGCACTTGGGGTTGGGCAATAACCACTAGCCTTGACACCAATTGCCACATCTTATTAGATAATTAAAAAGTATCTTATGTTGATGCTTCAGTGAAGTAATAACAGAATGAAGGTCCAGACTTGTTCTGGTGGTCAGTACTCCTCCCTCAGTTAGCCTCTAAACATCCTAATTTTTTTTTCACCTTATTGCTGTTAAAAGGGTTTTGATTTTCAAAAGATGACCAGCACTTGAGTCATAATACTTCAAGATAACTTGGTGTATGCGCTACGCTTTAGGATGTATCCCCCAGACGGACATGATCTAAATTCAGGCATTTTATATATAAAAAAAAAAAAATTGCTGGAAATCAAACAAAAACAGGAATTACTGGGAAAATTCAGCAAGTCTGGTAGCATCTATGGAAGGAAAGCAGAGTTAATGTTTCAAGTCCGGTGACCCTTCTTGAGAAGATGTAGCTAGGAAAATGTTCATATATATGCTGAAGATAGAGTGAAGAAGGAGTAAATGATAAGTGGAAATGAAGCCCAGAGAGAAAGAAAACAACAGTTGAACAGACAAAGGAATTGGTAAAGGTCAGCCTGCAAGTATCAGTGGCTGCTAGTGGGTTCCATTAGTATGCTGACAATGGAATGATCGTGGTAGCAGCCCATGCAATGACACAGTCTTCTATGTAGGGATTGGAGTAAGGACATGGGAGAAGGTGCTCAGGCCCTAAACTTATTGATCTCTACATTGAGTCCCAACGGCTGCAGAGGCCCCAGAATCCTCGTGTTCCTCAAACTAATGCCATGAGATTTTTTGGGTCTACCCTAGAGGGCAGAGGAGGTCTTCGTTTAATGTCTCAATTGAAAATGACACATCAGTGCAGCACATCATCATCAATACTGTGTTGTACTGAAGCATCACTCAGATTCACCTTTAGCATACTCTCTTTTACAATATCATTTTTGTAAATTCTTCTGACCATTTTACAATTTTAATACAGGATCATAGGGTGCAAATACATCCAGGTACATTTAAGTATGTAAAATGGGTTTAACTTGGGTATTCAATGACCTCTTGATTTTAATGAGTACTGCAGTTGTGAGCATTCTGCTGGACAAATTTCATTCGATGGGAAAGTAATTGAATGTTGTTTTAAATTATAGTGTAAAGAGACGTTGCACAATTGTTTCTTGGCTGGCAGATGTGCATGCAATGATGAGTACAAGCTTAACCATTGGATTCCTAACAGAAGTCTGTAGTTTCAACATCTTATTTTGCTGGGAACAAAGGACAGCTTAGTGAACAGAGTGCTGCTAGTGATGAGAGTGGACCTTGTTTTGTGATTCATCTTTGACTTGTTTATCAGTTATGCTGGGGAGAAAATGAAAGTTTAAGTTCCCTACTTTGTAGCAATGAGAATCCCTTTTGCATTCTTCACTGCACGTATTCCTTGACCTTTTTCTGATACTAATTACAAGCTGTTTGTGAGGGATCTGTGACAGCTCTTTACTCAACATGAAATAAACCCTGTCAAATGGTTGTTTGGATATTAAATTAGTTTTTGACTGACTGGGGAAGTGTGCAACCCCACTGAACCCAATTCTGGTATCATTCAGTATGCACTTGTGCCAAATTCCAGGATGCTTGTATTTCCACAAACCAATCACAATTGGGAATTCTTCTGAAACCCCATGCTGCACTTCAGCACTTTATCTCGGAAGAATAAAGTCTTAAGGAGACAGGTGAAAAGATGATCCTTCCACTCTGAGCAGCATTATTCTTCAGATGAATTATTAAATTCTAATTTAATTGATGACCAGACACCAATTGAAAAGATAAGGCTAGAAAAGCTGGTCAACATTCCCACAGGCTTCAATGAAGAAAATTAATTCAAAACAGAGACTGAAAACAACAGATCAGGTAGCATCTGAAACAGAGCCAATTAGTCATTGAGATGTACAGTCCTCAGACTGTGTACTTGAAATAATGATGTTTGGCCTGTTCCTTCAATACTTTCGGTATTTCATTTTCTGCTGCTTTTGCCTTTGTATTTCTATAAATCAATCTCATTGGTCTAACCCAATTCTTAAATGCTTCCAAGCATGTCATTTGAATTAATAGCATTGTTCCCTGATTAATCAATTTTGTTTCATATGCATGATATTGTATGTGGTGGCAGAGACTGAAAAATATCTCTTCGACGGGGACCTAAACTATCTACACAAAACATCATCTAATGCCAGCCTTGAAGCTGAAGAGGGATTTTAGATTTTTTCATTCTTTCATGCCTTGCTTTTGAAAGTTTTTGATTTCCAATTGCACTTCGGTCAGCAGGCTATTAGCTCAGTTGTCTGGCTGTCTAGTTTGTGATGCAAAGTAACGCCAACAGCAGCACAGGTTCAGTTCCTCTACTGGCTGAGGTTACCGTTAAGGTCCTACCCTTTGATTCTCGCCTGAGATGTGGTGATCCTCTGGTTGGACCACCACCAGTCATGACTCTGAAGAGATCAGGCGTTGTCCAGTTGGCTCTTTGAACCTGCTGTGCCACTCACTGATCATGGCTGATATTCCAAATCAGACCCCTGTTCCTGCTTTCTCCCCTACCCTTTGATCCCTTTAGATTAAATCTAACTCCTTCCTGAAAACATTCAACGTTTTGGTCCTAACCGCTTTCAGTGGCAGAGCATTCCACAGATTTGCCATTCTCGTTGGAGAGATTTCTCCTTTGCACTCCTCCGGTCATTGGGAACATCTTTCTTGTGTATACCCTGTCTAGTCCTATTTGAGTTTTATAGGTGTCAATGTGACCTACCCCCCCCCCCC